TTTGTTCTCATCTGTGAGCATGCTCTTGACATATGTATTTAAGGTGTGTAAATGTAGAATTGCCTTTTAATTATTTTTTCAGTTTTATTTAAATTTGTAGTTAAAACAACTAAAAATAAATGTATTTTAAAGTTTCGAATTAGACTGCCTTTGAACACAGGTTTACTCTGAAAAAAACAAAAAGGAACCTCAAGGTTAATCTAGGAAAATGTGTGCAAATGTATAGGGCCCCATTCCTATATTTTGCCTGGGGCCCCCAATTCACTAAATCCGCCCCTGCTTGTACCACCTGACCACCTCAGATTCATAAGGCGCAATTCTCCAAGTAGGTATAACTGCAATGTTTAGGCATTGATAGTGTGATAGTTCTGAGTCCAAGGGTGTGAACAACTCCAAGTAGAGCGTCACATGTCGTCATCTCGAAATTACAGTAATGACGTGGCGTGAATGCAGCATTAGTTATTGTGATGATGACATCATGTGACGGTAGTTCGTTTATAGCCTACATTAAGCTTTTTACCTCTGGTGATTGTTTAGGCTTCAAAATTAAATAAATAAAAAAAGTGTTCATTTGCGAAGATTGTGATGAGAGAGCTGCTTTTCTGCAATAAACCATAAGACAATGGAAAAAAACCCTGTTAGGTTTTTGTCAAGGGAACCAGAGTGTAATGCTAACTTCTGGGTTGACCTCATAGACTGTATTAAAACATGGACATAGTGTCCATGAGTCACCCCTAGGTTTCTGAAGAGCGTTTTTGAAGCTCAAAGTGGGCGGAGACAGCCGTCGCCATCTTGGCAGCGCGTCACTCCCGGATAATCAAAAAAAATTGGCAAAGAGGCGGGAGCTGGTTGTTGAAACACACCCACCTAGCTTGACGGTGGTGACAGCAGCGCCAATGCACCTGTCACTCAAGTGGCCACGCCCTTAATTAAGCAGAACTTTAAGGCTTAATATAATTTAAATAGATGAGTTACAAAAAAAAAAAAAAAAAAGTCACCCCCCTCACAGTTGTCATGAAGGGCAAAATTAGCTATATAGACCAAAACCCCTTTTTGTACCAGGCTGTAAACATGTTTTTTCTGCTGTGAAGTTGGGCATTTTAACATGGGGAGTCTATGGGACTGACTCCCTTTTGGAGCCAGCCTCTAGCAGCCAGTAGATTAATTGCAGTTTTAGTCACTTCCTGGTTTCACGAGAAAGGTTGCCGCTTGGTTGGCCTACAAAAATACATCACTGTAGTGTTCTATATACCCTCATAATTTTCAAGGGAAGCCAAAATGTTCAAATAGCGGATTTAGGTGGATTTGAATTAAGCAGATAGTGGGGTTTGGACATCCCATGCAAGTATGAGGTCAAGCAAATTCAGTAGAGCACAACAGTGATCAGTGAGCTGAACCAAATTAAAATAAGCTCCAAGATCAATCACATATGTTGTTTTGAAGCAAAAATCAAGTCTGTGTAGCTTCAGAACTCATGATGGGTCAGTCTTGTTTTCTCTATGAATATTTTTAAAGACTTCTAGAACTTTTGGGCTCTCGTGCTATGAAAAATGTGCAGATTTTACTCCCCCTCCCCTTGTCAAAGAATTTACGCTTTGTGAATTTAATTTAAACTCGGTCATCATTTACACTGTTTTCAGTTGTTTCTAAAAGTAAAGTGGCAACAGTGTTGTGCTCAGGGCATTAAGCACTCTGTGTTGAGTCTACAAGAGTGTTTAAACCAGCGTGTTCACAGAACTGGTAGATTGATATTCTTAGTCTAAATATAGGGACAAGGAATTTCCCCAGACCCATGAGACCCTGTGTTACCACTCTCTGAAAACTTACTGAAATACATTTATTATAGAATGTGCCACTTGTTAAGACAATCAGGACTTTAAAGTTCAGAGTTGCAAACAATCTTTGGTTCCTACCTTTGTAGTAGCAGTAATGCAAACTGGGTCTCTGCTCAAACATGAGATGCTTGCAGCTCAGAGAGAAGATTAAACTTGGTCAATCAGATCTTGGTCAATGATGCCAAAGGGCAGCAATACCAAGTCAGTTATGTTCTTTCGATCATCATCGCTGCAGGAATCTTTGCATGGTCATTTTCAACAATTAAGCAGAATCACTTATTAAAACATCTACTAAAGTTTGAATAACTGAAAAACACTTTAACCAAAACCTGAATGTGGTAGTAGGATCTGCCATCAAGGAACATCTCAAATCAATCTTTTCACTACATCCAGTTGACAAAGATGTCATCATCTGGTTAGTTTCCAAAGACTGAAGTAGCCTTTGCTTGGTTTATTTATAAATCCTAACTTTATAAACCCTAACTTAAAATAAATCCTTCCCTCAAACACATGCTTGTTTCTTCACAAAAAATAGCCACAGATCAATAAATACTTGCTCGGGTATGCATAATGCACATCTGAATTTGTTCTAACACCCCAGACATCCTGGAATCCTGCCTGAAACTGGTCTTTAGTACTTATAGTACTACAAGATATATCTTCATGCAAAACCACTGTTTGGCAAGTCATTTACTGATTATGTAAATAAACTCCTTTTGCCTTTCAACCTTTATATAGTTTGTCTAGAGGCCTCTTCTGCACACCTGTTCACACTTCATCATCATTTGCCTGTGGTGCAACAGCTTCACCTGAATTCATTAAACGAGTCAAAAAAGATTCTGTGGTAGGTATACCAGTGCATTCGTCACTTTGAAGAAGCTAAGAACGTCTCATTGTGGGAAACATTTGGCAATGAGAATTATCTTGTTGCATATAGAAAATTTGTAAACAATGCACAGTATACAACATACAATGTAAAGCAGCAATATGCTATTCCAAATACATATATTTCTAGAATACCTTTCACCATTAAAAGTTGTGATGCATGTTTTTTTTAAAGGGGTCATATAATGCGATTTCAATTTTTCCTTTCTCTTTGGAGTGTTACAAGCTCTTGGTGCATAAAGAAGATCTGTAAAGTTGCAAAGACTAAAGTCTCAAATCCAAAGAGTTTATAAATTCTTTATAAAAGTTAAGAGTCAACCACGCCTACATAAAATGGCTCGTTCTAACATGCCCCCATATGTCTACGCCACGCCGGCCAAATGTTCACGCAAAGAAAGAAGGCGTAACTTTTATTCTCGCTGTAATATTGTTGCCGCTTTCCGCCATGTCCTGAAGACGCTGTGTGCTTCGTTGTGAAAGCAAAACTACTTTGTTTGGTCGATCCGTGCTGGTCGCTGAGGAAATACAACAACTTTGCACTGTGGATCGGCTTTCACTGTGGACGAAGCGGAGTCCAGCCCGGGGTCGTCACATGTGGTTACCGCAAACCTCCTTCGTCGAATCCACTAGCCGCGCCGTTCTCAGGCCCGCCGCCTCTGCTCACTCTAGCCCTCCGGCCGTTCCTCACTCTAGCCCCCGGCCTCTGC